TTTTGTCTGGGACCACCTCCCGCCCTCCCCCTCATACAGCATTTTGTCATTGGTGCCCCCCCCCCCCCCCCCCCCCGAAACAAAAACCTGGTTATGTGCCTGCTTCTAAGGATAGAGTGGCGCAGAACTGAACTGGCGAAACTTACATTTCATACTTCACAGTTCCCGACCAATAGGAGCCGACTGCTACGACGAACATCGATATTCCCCATATAATCAGAAGGCTCCAGTCATAGATAGACGAGCGGGTTGGATACACTTTGACTATCAGAGGTTCTTTCGGCCTCATTAGCGCCTGCGACAAAGAGAGTTACAAACAAATTTAGCGTATACTGCCGATTGCGTTTGAGAAATTCACAATCCATGAGAAGAAGCGAGTTGCTGAGTATTATGCGTAATAAACAAGAGTAAGAGAGGTTTAAAGGGGCACTAAAGGTCGTACTCTTTTTTATTGTCTAAAACGATGCAAGTTGCAGTCATAGACACGCAAAAAAAAAAAAACGCATCGCGAACAAAAATTTCCCCGCGCGCGCGCGCGCCTTTTTATTTTTGGCGTTTATATTTCCCGCGCTCACCTCCTCGCTTCTTTTGATCGGTGACATCAAAAATCAGGAAATTCAGAAGCTTTGTAGGCGATATTTCTATAACATTTAATAACGGCAATCGTAAAACATGTTTTTTAACGCAATGACGAACGCACTACGGCCTTTCTTTTTGAAATACCAAAAATCAGATTTCGGTGGGATGTCGCTTCCTGAATTTGTGTTCTCCCCCGAAAAACTTGGCGGCGCTCGAGCAGAGGCTTATCGCCGAGTCGGGGACGAAACTGGTTTTTCCCCGCGCCGGCTCCCTTCTATCCCGCCTGCTGACCTCCTCCTCTCTTTGGGTCGCGGTAGCAACGGCGCTTTGCTTCACAGCGTGGTGCGGAGGTCCGAAAGAAAGTCGAGTCGCAGGAGACCGCAAAATTTGACTCACTGCACTGGCGCCGATCGCGCGGGAACTTCAAATTCGGCATTTGGAAATTGTTTTTTTAATTCACAAATACTGAATTCCCAAGTTTCGAATTTTGAGGGTAATGTCCCGGCATCATTTTCAATCGTTTCGGATAATAAAATAAATTACGATTTTGATGTGTCAGTGCCCCTTTAAGCAAACAGAAGGGACGAAAAAAATAAAAATAAAACACGTTCAGCGCTTTCGGACATTTTAAACTTGTAGCGCCGCTTATTTAAATACTGACACAAAACATCGTCATCAAATAGCAACCTGCCTGAAAAACCGACGCGGAAGTAGTGGCATCGCGTGACGTCATCAGCGTCAGGTGACCAAGTCCTCTGCTCACGCGACCACGTGACGTGGTCACCTCCACAGCATGGCTCTCTCGCGCGTGGCACATCACTCCTATTGGCTGTCATAAGTGGTCACGTGACCCCACTGGCAGCTTATATATGATGCCAGCTCAATATGAAAAAAAGGTTATATGCATAGAGAGACAGAGAAGGCAAAGAACCCGCTGGACCCAACCTTGGCTGGACTAGCAACTTTGCTGCTGCTGTTGTTGGCCTGTGGAAGTGTTGGCGCAAAGCCAAGGAGGGGATTGGCCAAGGATCGGCGTTTCTATAAAATTAAGGGTTGTAACTGTGTTTGAAATTTAAAAAAAAGACTCTTTTGTTTAAGATTGGAAGGCTCTAGCAAGGTAATCGTTTTGTTGCCGGGATATATTCATGAATGAGGGAGCAATGACCGTTATTTGTGGAGTCGAAGTACGTCGCTCAAAAGGAAAGTTTATGTTCAGTCGTTAGGGAAAGTTCCAGCATCAAAAAAAGGCTGCGCCAAATAACAGTGGCGCTGGCGCGTAAATCTACTGCAGAATAAAAAGTAATGGACTAGAGTTTCGTGAGTTTTGCAATATAGACATAGAGGTGAAGTGGAAAAACGAATTCTGTAGGAATAAAAGACAAGATTCTGGTCTCCGCATCGTAAACGCGTTAACGCTGTTTCGCAATGTCAGGATTCACAGCAATCAGCATTTCACGAATATTTGAGATGCATGTAATCAGGAATAGTACAGAGAATTTCATTTTGGTTGTATGTGAGCATAACGTACCCTGCGGAACCGCGCACTGAGCACAAAGTGAAGTGGAGGGACAGTCTCGATAACACGGAATGCCAATGAATCTCGTGCCAGGGAGTCGGCGGCTTCATTTTCAGGAATACTTATATGGCTAGTAGTGGTACGAAATGGGCACCTCCATTCCATACCAATTCCATTTCGGGGAATTAGAGTTTCCGAAAATTCCATTCCTTTCAATTTCTCGGAATGGAGACAATGGGCTCATTCCCACTCCTGGAAAGGCTGAGCTCCACCATTCCATTCCTCTGATTCCTAAACGTGAAACAAGGGACCATTGACCGCCACAATGTATTACTAAAGAAAAGAAAAAAGAAAGAGAATAAAGCTGTTGAGATTAAACGCGGAAAACACAGCAAAAGCATGCAAAAGCTTCATCAAAGCACTCATTCTACTAAGCCCAAGGGTGGTTGAACAAAACGCTTCGTGCCACTTGGTGTCACTGCAGACATCGATGGCGCCATAAAGTGTAAGAAGCTTGCGAGTCGCTAGACACGCGAAATATTAAACCCACCGATTTTCTTTGCAAACGGACTGTATACCCTCCGCAGATACACGGTTAGTGTGTTGTTTGTTTGATAAGGCCTTGACCATGTATAGTTCCCGCGTGGCGCAAGAAGCTATCTTGCTCTCTGCTTCGAGTACTTGCATAACAGTACCGCTAGTGCGCTCTTAGAAGCGACGCCGGGTATACCTGCCCCAAATCTCCATGCACTGCAAAAAAAAAAAAAAAAAAAAAAACGCTGACGAAATGCAATTGGTACATGGCGCCAGCACAAGCGGCTGTAACACTATATTATGGAACTAACCACGGGGAGGCTGTACTAAATATATTATGGAACTTGCGTTAGAACGTAAACTTCTACGTTTGCTGTACGATTCTTGGGATTCCTTAACATATTCATTATAATTCTTTAGTTGTATTTAGTAGGGTACCTTGTTGGGCTAGTTGGATCATCTTAGTTAAACTTATAAAATAGCGCCAAAAAGACAAGGACAAGAAGTATACAAAATTATACACGCAAACTCTAGAAGGTCGGTTGGGTTAAAAGCAGGGAGCCGAACCAGTCACTATTTTGGTTCAGTTCAGGTTCTGGTTCAGTAGCTTTGCATTTTGTTTCGGTCCGGTTCCGGTTGAGTTATGCTTTTGAAATAAAGGTTCGGGGGGTATATCGGTTCCAACAAGTGCGAAATAGTTCGAATGTTCAAACCGGTTCAAACCATACCGGAAACGAGGACAGCAAACAAATATATGCTTGATTTCGTTTTGTAATATTGAATGTTTTACTGAAACACCGTTCTATGGAAATTACAGTTATACAGGGGATTGAAAGCCGCCAAAGTACAGTACTCACATGTTAAGTCAATCAGCTAGCACACACAGTGACACCATGAGTATATGAAGCACCATACTCGCAAACTACCCACAAAAAACAAATTAGTCGTTAGTTGTTTAGAGAGTAGTAGTTCAGTCTGCCAGAGGATGGCGACATTGTTAGCACTGTAGGTGAGAAATTTAGCCAGTGCAGTACGACTGCTAGCTTGAAGTCTTTACGGGCTCACGCAGTACCGATACACGACCGCACGCCGGTACGACGCTCGTCCAGATCAAAACCGGAAACTACCCACGCCGCACGCCCGAACGACTGTGTTGAAGAAAAGAAAGACAGTAAAGGACAATCGAAACACGATTAAAACAAAAATAAAATTGG